TCTTGTAAATTTTTCCAGAGTGTTTGCCTCTCAGCATGGGAGTTGCTTGCATATATAGCAGTAACAGCAAAGACTTCATTAGTAGCAGTAGAAATTTTTCCATGAATGAGTTGGTTAGTCATATAAAGTGGAATAAAATTAATAGCATCTTTATTCCATTTAACCCAAATGCGTCCAGGGTTAGAAAACAGAAAATTGTCACAGTTGCTTTCTCTATTGAAAATTTGGTGATTGGCTAGGAACCAGTCATTGGTAAGGTTGGTTTGGGTAATTTTAGCTTCAAGGATGAAGAGAAGATCTAAGTTATGGGTTTGGGTTAGGAGTTTACAGCTCTTTACTTTGTCAGGGTTATTAAACCCTCTTATGTTCCAAGCTGCAATGTTCGGGAGGTTCATTGGGACTTATTTTTTGGGGTAGAGGCTTTTTTGGCTTGTTTACCTCTAGTTTGTTTGACATTTTGACTTGGCTGGGTTTGGGTTTTAGTGGAATGCGAGGATGAGCTTGTTGAGTCATTTGAGGTGGTAGGAATGTTCGGCTGATGTGAACGAGGGGATGTTTGAGCTGGACTATTGTGATTTAACAAGAGGTTGATATTGTCCTGGGCACTGGTGTTCGGGTTTTTAGGAGAATGAGGCTGGTATAGGTTATGAGAAGGTGGTTGAGAATCTCCATCTTCTTCCTTATCATGATCAGATAAGGTTTGAAATTTGTTTGCTATTTTTATAAGGGGCTGTTCTTGTGTCATAGTTTGAATTTCTAAAGAGTCTTGAACATCACCCGAGGGTGAGTTGAGGTTAGGTATCATGGGGTTTTCAACTGGGTTGCTGATTTGGGTTTTTGCTTGTTGGGTATTGTTGGTCTGTGGCTTAATTTGTTGAGGAGGTTTAGGAATGTTGAGTTTAGGAGGAGGTGAAGGACGGGGTTTTCGGCTAGAACTTCTGCCCCTGGTGGAGACATGGTTAACCGGCTTTTGTATAGGATCTTTAGGGCAAAGGGAGGGAGGATGCATAATAGAGCCACATTGTGAACAATGATCTGGTTTCCAATCATATTGGACACGAAGTGGGAAGACCTTTCCATCAACATTATAGAAAATTTCGTCAGGTAGGGTAGAAGTACTGGTGATTTGAACACAAACTCTAGCAAAAGTAAGACGTGTTTTTGCTGCCGTAAGGGCATCTACAGCAATAGGAATACCAATACAGCTTGCTAGTTTAGATATACCTTCCGGCGTCCAGAGGGAGAGAGGAAGATTCAAGATTTTTACCCACAGAGGAATAGAAGGAAATTCCTCTCTCTTTGGAACAAAGTCTGGAGTCCACTTCTGCAAAATGAATGGTTTTCCAAAGAAAAACCAAGGTCCTCTGGTCCATGCAAAATCATAGTCTTCTAGGGCAGAAAATTTTAGAAGAAAGAAGCCATCATCCAAGGTGAGAAGGGAGATTTCTCCTTTGAGCTGCCAAGCCTTCTTTATCGTCGCGAGGAGTGACTCGTAAAAAGGCCTTTTTCCAATAGAGTAACCCACCAGTGAAAGAGACCATTCCGGCGCTCCTGCAACAAATTGCTCGGTAGTAAAGTTGGTCGTGAAGTTTTGGGTTGGGGTGAAACCAAGTGAGTGAGAAAAATCAGAGGAAATTTGTGGAGCAGAGGTTAGTAGATTCTTCCAGAGAGGAAGAATAGTGGAAGGGGAGATGGTGGAGCCGGCGGCTGCAGCGGATGAAGGAAGCGGGGGGAAGACGTCTTCCGACATAGGGGAAGAACCCCTAGCCAGAGGAGGCGGCGGGAGGAAAAGCAAACCCTAACCCTAGCAGGCAAAGCTTCTCGCGATTTTTTCCTTTTCTTCCTTCCCCCCACCAATCTCGCTTTGATCTGTTTCTCCTTGTGGAGGTATGGGGAATGTTAAGAATAAATGTAATGTGTCATATAATTATACTATTATAGTCATACATGCATGTTCATGATTGCAGGGGTGTCGATATTGAACCCGACCCGAAAAATCGACCTGAGCTCAACCCGAAAATTTTGGGTTTCGGTTGACCCGAACCCGAAATGGGTCAGGTTCGGGTTCAACAATTCGGCCCGTTTCAAAAATTGGGTCTGGTTCGGGTTGACATGTTGACCCGAAATTGACCTGAAAATGACCCATTTTGACTGAAAACCTATTTCTTACTCGGGAACTCGAGATCAACCCATTTTTGGCCCAGAAAACGAAGTTTGACCCGATTTTGGACCAAAAAACTAATAGTTTTTTGTCCGACCCGGGTCATTCGGGTCGGGTCGGGTTGACCCGGACTTGAAGCGGGTCGGGTTCGGGTCCGGAAAACCGACTTGTTTGCATAAACGGTTCAAGTTCGGGTTGACCCGAATAGTGCCGAGTCAGTTTCAGGTTCGACCCGAACCCGACCCGTGACCTGAAATTGACACCCCTACAAGATTATCTAAATTATTGTGTAGAATGCACAAGAATTTTTGTATATGAACTATGTTAATTAGAAATTATTAAACCATGAGTTGATCTTAATTAAGATTATTTATTTTCACTTAAAGGGCCATCCAATCTCTAATCCAATTTTATTAAGCTTAATGAGAAATCACTTTTTGAATCTAATTCTTAACTAGCTAGTTTAGAAATATGGTCCTTTTTTCACGAAGATCTAATAAAATCATAGCTAAAATTGGAGACGAAAATCAAAGAAGACCATCGATCTAGATCTTATGCCATGTTGTTAAAGAATTCAATGAAATCAATTGCGCTTTATTTAATAACAACAATAAAAAATGGCTAGTCACTTTTAACACTCAAATAAATGAACATATGGGATTGAGGGGTAGGCTCTGCAGCTCCGATTCATGGGAAAATAGTAGACCTGTCAATATTTAACCCGACCCGAAATCTCGACCCAAAAATTTTGGGTTTGGGTTGACCCAAACCAACCCAAACCCGAAGCGGGTCAGGTTCGGGTCCGTAAAACCGACCCGTTTGTAAAATAGGGTCGGGTTCAGGTTAACCCGGAAATCCGAGAATGACCCGAATTGACCCGGAATAACACAAACCCGTCAGCCGCGTCACCGCGTCAGCCCCGCATCGCGCAGTCGAGCGGAAATAGGGTTTTTTCTTGATGAAAATTGAATATATATTATATACCACCGAAAAATTAGCCATTTTTTCCACCAGTGTAAACTTTAAACAGTATTTTGCCAAAAAGATTCATTGAAAATGGCTATTTATTTTTTTTTTGTAGTAATTATTGCAACGAATAACACTAACATCAATTTTAATAGCTTGAAAATAGTTTGTCTATTCCTACTATTTAGCTTGACTTTAATGAATACATATAATATAATTCTGTTAAGATTAAATATATTATAGTTATATTTATATCAAAGTAAATTTAGCTTTTGGGAAGAGTCAAATACTGATTTTTCTAAATTTCGAAAGGAGGACACATGCCCCCCTAGGCGAACAATTATTAGGTCCTCCGATCGGACGTAGAGGAACGTTTGGTCGGCACTAAAATCCCGCAAAAAAATTCGGTATTTGATCAGTATTGCTAGGTAGTATTTGGTAATAACGAGGAATACCGCTCTATGAAGACCAATACCGAGTTATACCGAGCTATACTGAGCAATACCGAGTTATACAAAAAAATACCGAGTTTTTTCTAGGAAAAACTCAGTATTTTTTTGTATAACTCGGTATTGCTTGGTATAGCTCGGTATAACTCGGTATTGGGTCTTACATGATGGTATTCCTCGTTATTGTTTGGTATTGCTCGGAATTTGCTCGATATTTCTCGTTTTTTGCACGATTTTAGCTCCTACCGGACGTAGCTATACGTCCGGTCGGAGGACCTAATAATTGTTCCCCCTAGGCTCCCTCTCTCCGCCCGTGGTCATTGGCTGCAAAAGCTTCCTTCTCCGGCAAATCATCCCTAAAAAATGTCCATATAATGTCTCCAACCTTTATTTAACTTATGAATGTCTTGGGGGAACTTCTCGATTGGCTCTACAAGGCGACAACTACCAATTTGGCCTTACTTCAACTTTGTTTGGTCGGAACCTATCGGACCTCCCAACGAACTTAGTTCCCAACTTCCGTCTAATGCATTGCTCTGATCGAAGGGCTTCATGATTTTGTCATGTTCGTGTAACTTCCTAGGAGGTCACTCATCTCATAATTTTTTAGGATGAGCATGCTTGACTGTTCAATTTTTTAAATGAAATTCCTACCATTACACCACAATGCACCTTGATGTTTAAGAGTTTAACTTTATTTTACTTAAGGGATTTCACAATGACTTCTTTAGTTATTTCTCTCTGATAATCTCAACTCACTTGCCCTTCGGCTAGGCTGTAAGAACCGGTTGGACCGATTTAGTCAAATTGGTCCATTTTTGTATAACAGAGCGAGCGTGCGAGCGGTGGAATGAGCCAATGATAGGCAGATGCGACTCCTTGCGTGAGATAAGTCAATTTAGCTCAATCCAGTGAAACTACACGGGAGAAAAGATAGACCTTTGGGGAAGTTGCTGACCGAGGTGAAGAAGAAAGAGAAGAATGGTTTGTCCATCAAATTTTGTTTCATTTCCATGCAAATTATTTAGTGATTTCAACATAAGAAAATATTAATGTTTTGATTTAAGGCAAAGAGAGGGAATTGTTCGACAAAGGGTTCATACTCGATTGAGAGGAGAAATTTTATAAAATTCTTCTAATAGTAAGGAGGAAGGGGTAGGATAAGACGAAGAAAAGTTAGTCAAATTTCATTTTCAGGGAAAGAGAAAGTGTGAGTTGTTTAGAAAGAAAGAAATGTATAATTTTTTTTTTTCATTTTCAGTGAAAGAGAGTGTAAGCTGTTTGTTTGTTCACATTTAGAAAGGAAGAAATGTTTTTTTTTTTAAGTTTACTTAAATAGTTAATGTACGATTGTTAAGTAGAAAGAAATATCGATGGTGAATTTTGAGGTAAATCATGAAAACTATTTAAATATATTGTTTGATCATCTTCAAGGAATTAGAAATTTGAATTGATAATATGAAGTGTCCAACATTGTACTTAGTGACATTTTATGTTATTTTTGGACTATGGAAAAGAAAAAAATATATGCATTTTAATCATTGACCTTAGATGAATATTAGATGCAAAAGTTCTTCGAGGAAGTTAGGTGTTGAATTAAGATTATTTCAAAGCTCGAGCAAAAAAATTTATAATTTTGAAAGAATTTGAACTCACGAAAATAATTAAGGTGGATTAATATGTTTACAATATAACAATATCTTATCATTTGAACTCGCAAACTTTTTTTTTTTTTTTGATAGTTCATTCAAAGTGAAGTATGAAATAACTTTATATATTGTTATGGATACATTTATATGTTATAAATGAAGAGACATAGAATTTCTTTTAAAGTAATTATATTATATTAAGATTACTATGCATATGTGAGGAAATTGAAAGTAAAAAGAATAAATGCTAATATGAAATGAGAATTAATAAAATGGAAAGGGTATATGAATGCAAAGGAGTTCACCCCCTTATGATACTGACTAGAGCCGCAATATACTCATGTATGTAAAATAGAAATATAAATGTAAATGAAAATACCTAAATTTGTGCTTATTAGATGGTGCTCTTGAATTAAATTTAAAAGATAGATACCTTAAAGTAAACTTATGTAATTAAGGATTTGCATGTGTATATATATATTGGAACTAGTATATATCAAAATCATACTGATTATAAACCGGGTTGAATCTCCTCGAAATTTGAACTCATCAAGTTAAAAGTTGTTTAAAGCTTCAATAGTCCATAATCGAATGTCATAAGTCACCCAAAAGCTAAAATTTTTTCGACCCTCGTTCTAGGAATCATGAGTTAGACCGCTTAGTAAACCCTACTCACCCAAGGAACTTGGATACTCCGCCAAAATAATCGACAACAAACTAAGGATTTTCACCCGGAGAACTCGCCAAAGGTACTCCCTTTCAATCCAAAACTCGCATGATATTCTCATCTAACTACATGGCTGACAAGTACAAGTCAAACTTTGTTTACTACACATCTAGCTATATAGAATCCAAGTCATGTACTTCCAAAACAATCAAATTATATAACCAATTTTAGCCCTCACCAACAAATACAGGGCCACAAGTCAAATTTAGGTGTGACATAATCTTATTCTTTTGATATAAACTCTCATCTTGTTGGCCGCTCTTTAAATCTTTTTTATAACTTGATTTATTATGTACTTCCCTACCTTAGGGGTTTAACCGAGTCTTTTGTATTGATTTGGCCAAGAAGAATCCTCAAACCTTTTTCTCTTCCCTCTTTGTTCTTTAGGGTTGATCCACATTAAAAAAGAAGGGTTGATCCATATTAGGGTTGTCAACTTAGGTTGGTGGGTTGTGTTTTGGATCTAGCTCAAACTGACCCAATGTGAACGAGGGTTGCAAAAATTCACCCACAAACCTAACCCAATATTCATATCAATCAAAATGTTTGGCTAAAACCTATCTCAACCTAAACCCTAAACCTGTCATGCTGTTAATTTCGGGTCATGGGTCGGGTTCGGGTCAAACCCGGAACTGACCAGACACTATTCGTGTTCGGGTCAACCCAACCCATTTTTGCAAATGGATCAATTTTTCATACCCAAACCCGACCCGCTTCAGGTTCGGGTCAACCCGACCTGGCCCGCTTCGGGTTGATTTTTTTTGTTCCGGAAGGGTGCAGCGGTGGCGGTGCCAGCGAGGCAGCGACGCCACGCGAGCAAACCGAGCGACAGCGACGCGACGAGAGCGACGGTGACGCGACTCGAGCGACGCGATGCGAGGGCAGGCGGGGCATGCGGGCGCGGTGCAGCGGGGCAGCAGGCGCGGTGCACTGGGCAGCAGGGCAGCTGGGTTTCCGGGTCATTCCCGGGTTCCCGGGTTAACCCGAACCCGACCCAGTTTTGCAAACGGGTTGATTTTTAGGACCCGAACCCGACCCGCTTCGGGTTCAGGTCAACCCAAACCCGAAATTTTCGTGTCAAGTTTTCAGGTCGGGTCCAATGTTGACAAGTCTACTGAACCCGTATAACCCAAAACCAACACATTTGACACATTTATTATATTGATCGAGCATTTTTTTTAAAATCATCATGATCTATTCAACCCATATACAACTTAACCAAAAAATAAACCATTTAATCCAAAAATGGGCTGTTTAACTTTAAACTAAAATGATAAATGAATCAATTATAAATTTCGGAGTCAACTCAAATTTAACTCAAAAATTAATTAGATCAACCCGAACTCACATAATCCAAAGTCTAAACCCAACACATTTAACCCATTTATTATATTAACTGTGCACTTTTTTTAAATCAACATGATCCATTTAACACAAATATAACTTATTAACACAAAAATAAACCATTTAATCTTAGATCAACCCGTTTAATTTATTGAAATGATAATTAAATCAATTTTAAATTTTGGGGTCAACTCAAACCCAAACGCAAACTTTTTAAAGTTAAAACAAATCATTTATTAACACCGTAACCTTTATTTATAATAATCTTTTGGTATCTTAATATTGGATTCAACACTAACAAGAAAGATTTACAATCTATATAATGAGGAACACTTGCAACTCAATTGAATAGCAGATAAATAGCCAGCATACAAGATGAATGAAGCTTCTAATAGGTAGCTATTATTTCCATCCCCTTCAGGGGGTCAAATCAGAATTTAAAGAGATGACTATTACGTCTTGACAATCTTATCAAGAATAAAATTCTCTTGCTTGGCGAAACCAATAGAACTGTCGTTTGGGACAGCTTACTTAACAGCTTTCTAAAATGATTTTCTAATACAAATTTTCTAGTTAAAGAAATTTTCGTACAAAAAAATTGCTTCAAAAAACAATAAAACTGCTACAATAAAATAGCTGCTTTAAAAACCAGTAAGAAAGCTAGGGCAGCTTTTGGCCGTTGCTTTTTCGCTACTTTCAAGAAATTTTCGTACTAAGAAGTTATCAAAAGCATTAAGAAAGTTATCCCAAACGAAGCATAAGTCTAAGAAAAGGCTACATGCTATTCAAAAGAGAATCAAATTGAATGCAATAGAATAGTCAAGGAAAAGTTTCATATAGTAAATAATCTATGCAACATAAAAGGTTTTCCCTCTGGCTTTCTTCCCAAGTTATTAATACAGTAAAGATTGCAGTACTTACTAGAGCTAGGACGTATTTTGTTCGCAATAGTACATATCCATAGCTCTGGAACTTCCAAATTATAACAAAAATCCATCCAATTAGCTGTGACCTCCGGAAATCGGTGTTACATTGGACTGAGCATTGTGAATTGCACGGCGTAGTTCAGCAGCGAAATCCATCTAACAGCAACATAAAAATAATAAGGCAGCAATAAGGTGGGGAAATATGTATACAAATAAGTAGAAAGGATGAAAATCCCATCTGCACCTGGTGAGGTAGCTTCAGATGTCCCCAGGTTGCCCCGCTGGCTCCTGTGTACATTATTGGCCTCTCTGGTGCCCAACATGCACGTTCACAGTTAAGAAATTGTATGAATATCATTAATAGTTCTACAATATTATATTGTTGTAAAAAAATGCAATAGATAAAGGAATAATAAACTGACCAACTTTACAACCAACCTAAATTACAAGAAGGAAGATAAACATGATAGGAATGGAATCTGTTGAACTTTGATATAAATTGATGTGCATCAGCAAAATCAGTCATGAATATGTTTATTTAGGCTTCGTTCGGGACCGCTTTCTTATGGTTTCTTAAAGCAGTTTTTTAATATTTAAACTAAAGTTAGAGAGGCTTTAAAGAAAATGAAGGGTGGAAAAGCTGTTGGACCTTATGATATTCCAATAGATGTGTGGAAATACTTAGGAGATGAAGGAATTTCTTGGCTTATTAAAATTTTTAATACTGTTTTGAAGAATAAAAAGATGTCAGATGAGTGGAGAATGAGTGTGTTAATTCCTATTTTTAAGAATAAAGGTGATGCACAAGATTGTGCGAATTTTAGAGGAATTAAGTTATTGTGTCATACTTTAAAACTATAGGAGCGAGTTATGGAGCATAGGTTGTGGCGTGATACTAATGTTTCTCAAAATCTATTTGGATTCATGCCGAGTAGGTCGACTATGGAAGCCATACATTTATTAAGAGGTTTGATGGAGAAATATAGAAAAAATAAGGAGGATCTACCTATGATGTTTATTGATTTAGAAAAAGCATATTATGATAAAAATCCAAAAGAAGTGCTACGGAGAGTTCTTGAAAAGAAAGGAGTTAATAACGCTTATAATCAAATCATTAAAGATATGTATGCATGAGCTATTACTTGTGTTCAAACAGAAGGTGGTTTGACCAAGTATTTCCCTATTTCGGTTGGGTTACATCAAGGATCAGCCTTAAGCCCATATCTTTTTGCTTTAGTCATGGATGTTCTCACAAGACATTTGCAAGAGGATGTACCTTGGTGTATGCTTTTTGTTGATGATATTCTTCTTGTTGATAAGACTAGAGAGGGAGTTGAAGGTAAACTTGAATTATGGAGGTCAACCTTAGATTCTAAAGGTTTTCACTTGGTTTGGTCACATAAAACGACGGCCTTCTGATGACCCGGTTAGGAGAGTAGAGGTATTAAATTTGACTTATGTTAAGAAAGGTAGAGGCAGACTTGGTTAGAAAATATTAGGAATGATCTTTCTTTATTAGATTTAAACGAGAATTTGACTTTTAATAGGACACAATGAAGAAAAAAAATTCATGTAACTGACCCCACGTAGTGGGATAAAGGCTTGATGTTGTTGCTGTTGTTGAAAGCTGCTATAAGAAGTAGTAAAAATGTCGTCCCAAAATGAAGCCTTAGACTGAAATCGTGTATCGGAATCTGTTGAACTTTGAGTGTATTTAAGATTCTATATTTGCCTACCTTTCTCTAGTCTTTCTGTCGGTTCTGTGATTTTAGTATTGAGTAATGCTAAACTATGGTGTCATGCATAACCACACGACACTATACAGCTCTCACCCCTCTTTCTCTCCCCATCTCTCTTAGTGCCCTCACGGAAAAATTTATTTTTGGGTTGTAGCTTATTAAGCATAAGCATTTTTTATGTAGTATTCGCTTGAATACGCATCTTAATAAGTCAAGATATTCATATCAAACTTTAGTTATGATGGCTTTTCAAATTTCTAGATTTGGTTGGAGATGAGAGGAATATATGGATAATAAATTGACCCTTGTATGGTACTAATGGCAAAGCAAATCCAAAGATTTTAAAATCAATCTTGAACAAATTTTAATAAGAATTTACTCGGGACATCCTCACCCAATCTTTTTCCATTTTAATATCTAAATGACAATAAAAAATTTTATATGCAATTTTTCCATCATAATATCTAAAAGACAATAAAAAATATATAAGATCACTTTCTTAACTCCCCGAATCATGGCATAATCTAAACTATCATGAAAGAGATGGGAAAAAAAGCATTACAATAATCATGAACAAAATACACGAGTACAGAGCACAACACATCTTACATGCAAACATAATTAACAATATCCATATCAACATTCTCAGAAGGCTCAAATGAATTCGTAATTGATCAGAAGAGAATATACATAGCGCTTCAGAGCTAAAATCTCTTTTAACAAATGTTTAAGATATTTGTGACTAAATAATTCCTCTAAAGATATCGCAATACAGTTAGAAGTGGCGTATCATAAGCAACATAATTCACGAGGTTTTATTAAATCCGTCTGTAAAGACTATTTGCAATGTAGGATGATTCGAAAACCCAAGCACCCTCCGACCTGTGGGACTTTCAATGACTCTATCCTTGATCTGGTTCAGTTTCCAGCTTGGCTGATCTTTGGTTTGGGTCAATTCCCTAATTTGTTTGTTGTTTCAAATTTTAGAGATTCCTCATTTTTGCCGGCACATCTACAGCTTCTGCACACATTTCTTCCGCCTAGCTCCGCTCTTTGTGGTTCTTCCCACCTATGTACGACTAATATTGTATGTTAAACGTGAGTTTTTTGCAATTCAAATGCCGTTTCTTCCGTGTGATGGTATCTTCATCCCTATGGGCTATGATATTTGTGCTCCTGATTGGATTCATATAGTTACTAATTTTGGTAAATTTTTGGAATTGGCAGTATAAATAAAAACTTGGAAACATGTAAAGTTGAGCTCAAATAATATTTTCTAGTTTTTTTTGTTTCCTCTTCGTTGAGTGCCAGATGAGATATAATTCTTTCTAATCTGATAAACTTAAAGATTAAAAATTTTGAGGAGAAGCTATCTCCTAGTATATAGGTGTGATGCCTAGATTGTTATCCTAGTGATTTTTTCTCCTTACCATTCATATTCCATAATTTTAATTTATTAGTTGGTCTATGCAAGTGAATTTGTTATGGGGAGAGTTCTAGTCATCTGGTGATTTTCCATTATCATGAATTTTTATGTGAAACTTCTATTTGACAACCATTAAATAATAGTTTGCCAATTTTGTGTTTTTCTTATTTTTATCAAATGCAAAAAACATTTCAATTAAAATTCTATAAACTGTGAATTTTTAAACCAGTGCATTATATTATACAATTGAATTAGGAAGTATAGGTGTTCGCTCAAGAAAAATAACGCTTAGGCATGAACCCTGCTTTCCAGACTTAGCATCCCATCCTCCTTACGACAGATTGATTTTTTTATTAACCAGATTTCCCCCGAGAATTATATCGGGGCTTATTTAATTATGGGTCCTTACTTGTTATAACCGCAAGCCCTCATAGTTAATTACTCCTCTTACTTCTTAGGAGAAACTCTCGATTAAGGGTGAATCACTTTAGCCTAGCTTAGGAATCTTAAGTTTTAGTCTCGTTTGTAGAGAATGGAGATAGACCCAATCAAGATCCTATGGCTCCATCATCCCAAGAAAACCGTAAATCTCAATCTACCAACGCTAACAAACCATTGGGTGCAATGTCCAGGGAATCTGATTAACAATCATAGATTGTCTCATCTCAGAGATCCTGAGTAGACTGAGGTGGTTAAATGTTTGTTTTGATCTTGATATGATTTAAGTTTGGGGTATATGGCTCCTTTTAGGAGTTTCCCATGAGTTTAGATTTAGAATGGGACTTATGGCTCTACTCCCGTATATTTGATTTAGGATGGGGCTTATGGTTGTGCTTAATAGTTGCCCGAGAGTTTAGATTTAGGATGGGGCTTACAGCTCCACTTAGAAGTTGCCCGTATATTTGATTTAGGATGGGGCTTAATGCTCTGCTTAGGAGTTGCCCGTATATTTAATCTATGATGGGGTTGTACGGCTTCACTTAGGAGATGATCGTATATTTGATCTAGGATGGGGCTTACAGCTCCGCTTAGGAGTTGCTCGTAGATTTGATTTAGGAATTATTACTTCACTAAGAAGTTTCCCAAACATTAGGTCTTACTACTTACGTAATGCCTTTTGGCCTCACGAACGCACCAGCCACTTTCCAATCTCTAATGAATCCAACCTACTTGCGAAGGTTTGTCTAGTATTTTTTGATGATATATTGGTATATAGTAGATCTGAGGGGAAGTACTTGGAGAATTTGGGAGTTCAAGTTGTCTATCTTAAGAGAGCACTCTTTGTTTGCCAATCAGAAGAAGTGCTCTTTCACACAGCCCAAAGTAGAGTATTTAGGGCATGTAGTATCTCGAGAGGGAGTTGCAACTGATCAGAGTAAGATTGAAGCCATGCTAGGATGGCCCAACCCAAGACTTTGAAGGAGCTGAGAGGATTCTCGAGACTCACAGGCCATTATCGAAAATTTGTGAAAGGGTACAATACTATAGCAGAGTCGTTGACAAAACAGCTCAAGAAGGATAATTTTAATTGGGAGAGTCAGCCACCAAGACTTTTAAGGAGTTGAAGAAGGCGATGACCAATGTGACAGTATTAGCACTCCCAAATTTCATCCAGCCTTTTTTAGTTGAGACCGATGCCTCAATTGGGAGCGATACTCATGCAGAAACAAAGACCAATGGCCTATTTTAGTCAAGTGTTGATGACCAGGTTAAAACTCAAGTCAGTCTATAAGAGGGATCTGATGGCGATTGGGTTAACCATTCAGAAATGGCGGCCTTACTTATTGGGAAAATATTTCATCGTCAAAACTAACCAGAGAAGCTTGCAGTATATGTTAAAGTAAAGATTGGTCACTGACGAGCATCAAAGGTGGCTTTCCAATTTATTGGGCTATGACTTCGAGATTCAGTATCGAACAAGGATTGAAAACAAAGCAGCAGATGGTTTATCCAGGTGCATGGGGGAGGCCCCAGATGTTGGTAGTACCTGTGCCCTTAGTGGTTGACTTGGAAGCATTGAGGAGAGAGAGCGAACATGATGCAGGGTTGAGGAAAATTAGGTAGGAGCTGGTGGAAAAATAAGGACACCCATCCAGGGTATTCAATGGTGGGGCAGAAATTGCTTCTTTATGGGCGCTTTGTGCTTCCAAAAAATCTGTTCTTAAATTTCTTGCTTACTTAAGGAGTTTTATGGGGCGGCCATTGGGGGAGATAAGGGGGTCAAGAAGACATCGTCGGCTTTCTACAAAGTTGTATTGGGAGGGTATATAGAAGGATGTCAAAAAGATGATGGGTAGCTATGACATATATTAGAGGCACAAGTATTTAGCTGTCTCTAAGAGGGCTACTTCAGCCGTTAACTCTGCCAGAAAAGATATAGGAGGAGGTGGCCATGAACTTCATTGAAGGGCTACCAAAGTCAGAAGAATACACTACGATATTGGTGGTAGTGGATCAGTTGAGTAAGTATACACATTTCATTCCCCTTCACCACCTCTATACAGCAATATCGGTAGCGACAGTCTTCATAACGGAGGTGGTGAGAACATGGGATACTGGAATCATTGTATCAGATTGAGACAAGATCTTTCTGAGCCAGTTCTGAAAGGAATTGTTCAAGTTATAGAGGACTATTCAAAAAGGAAGCACTACTAATCATTCGCATAAGGACGAACAAATAAAGGTAGTCAATCGTAGTATGGAAACTTATCTTCGATGCTTTGTATCAGATACACCAAAGTTGTGGGCAAAGTGTTTAGCATTGGTAGAGTATTGATATAACACTTCCTATCATTCAGCAGCTCAGACAACACAGTTCAAAGAGTTCTACGAAAGAGATTTGCCTCACTTGATATATTATGGACAAGGTAGCACACCGATGGCATCAGTAGAGTAGTACTTGAAGGACAGAGACAGTGTCTTCGTGAAACTAAAGGGGCATTGTTGAGATTTCAACAAATTATGAAGAGGCGAGCAAATGCACAAAGGAGAGAAATTCAGTTTAAAGTGGAGGACGGGGCTTACTTGAAGCTTCAATCGTACAGACAAAAAACCTTGGCATAGAGAAGGAATAATAAGTTATCACTCTGTTATTTTGGTACTTACAAGATAGTGGAGCGCATTGGTGTCGTGGCATATCACCTACAGTTACCGCCGTCATTATCAATCCACCCAGCGTTTCATGTGTCCCAGTTGCGACATATGATAGGAGAGCAAATTTCGTCTTTTTTACTTCCCCTGTCCTTGATGGACAATATGAGGTGTTGTTGGAACTATTGGAAGTCAAAGGAGTGTGACAGAGAGTAACCAGAAGCAAATAAGTGTTAATCAGGTGGAAGAACCTCCTGGATGAGACCACATGGGAGTCCTACCAAATTATTCAGCAGCAATTCTCTTCATTCCACCTTGAGGATAATATGGCACGTTTGGGGGAGAGTATTGGTAGACCAATGCATGAGGGACCGGTCCAGCCAGTCCAACGCAAGGCATCGGTTTAGCTCAAGGGACCAGCCCTTGTTTACTCCAGGCAGAAGCTTGATCCACCCCAACTGTAGTCCGTCTCTATTGGGGTGGGGCCTAGGGAATTAATACAAGGAGGAGGGGAAGCTAGGAGGAAATTAATAAGAAAATAATTCCAAATTAAATTCAAATAGAAGAGGGAAATAAGTAAGGAAAGAAGGCAAATTTGAGAGTAAAGCATGGGAGGATTGTTTTGGTATTTGATGTTTATTGTATGTTTTAAGTAGTTGATTTACCCTAGAGTTAGGGTTATGCATATTTTGGATTTTTTTTTGTTGTTGTTTTTTTTCTTGGAGCCTTTCTAGCGGCATCTAGGTTGTTTGGGAGAGTCAATCTACCTCTTGAATTATACTATATCTTATTTTTTCTTATTGACGTATTAATACAAATTCAGTCATCCTGTTGATATTCCTGCAGTTTTGTGTTTGTTTGTTTGCTGATTTTACTCCCGAGGCACATCATTAAACTAGAAGTTTTATCAACTACATAAGAAATAAATTTTTAAATAAGAAACTAAATGGGTGCATGAAGATTCTTCCTGGATATTAATTAGGTGGTAAAGTTTGTAAGTATATTAAAAAAATGCCTTAAAACATCACCAAGAGCTTAGTTCTTAAGATTCAACTCTACTCTAACTTGGATAAAAGCAAGGAAAGGACAATCACACCATTTTCTTGAAATTTGGAGAATATGAGAAAGAATCTATTGTAACTACATATGTAAATGATATTGTGCTTACAAGTGATAACATCCACAAAATAACAAAATTAAAAGAGTTGTTGAAGAAGGAATTTGAGATGAAAGATTTAGGAAAAACTTAAATATCTTCATAGAATGGAAGTTTTTAGAAGTTAGAACGGCATCTCCATTTCTCAACGGAAATGCGCTCTTGATCTGTTCAAAGAAAATTGAAAATTAGAATGAAAACTTATGATTACTCCACATGAAAAAGATAATAAGAAGAAAGAAAACAATGCTGAAAAACCTGTTGACAAAGAAGGATACTTGGTCAAACCACCTTGTATTTAAGCACAAGTAATAGCTCTTATAAACGTATCTTTAATAACTTGAATATAAGCATTATTAACATCTTTCTTTTCTAAACTCTCCAAGCACTTCTCTTGAAATTTTATCACATGCTTTCTATAAATTAATAAATATCCAATATAGATCTTCATTTCTCTATACATCTCTATCAAACCTATAAACAAATGTATAGCTTCTTTAGCAGACCTACCGACCTACTAGGTATAAACCCAAACTGATTTTGAGAAATGTTTTTATCACATCATAACATATGCTCAATTACACTCCCCCATAATTTTATTGAATGATGCATTAACTTAATTCCTTTATAAATCGCACAGTCTTGTGCATCACCATAATTCTTAAAATTAAGAACCAACACACTCCACTCATCTGACATCTTTTTAGTTTTTCAAATAATATTTAAAAAGTTAAGCCAAAAAATTCTTTGATCACCAAAACACTTCCACACCTCTATTGGAATAATATATATATACTTTTTTTCTTCCCTAGGTTTTGAAATAGAGCCGAAACTTTGGATATATGAATACTCGCCACATGACTCTAGCCAATATCCTTAGTCCCCTAACTTTTTCTAAATGAACAAAATAATCCCTAACTATATAAAATATCAATGTATTCCCTTGACTCTTTAAATAGGAACCAAATTAATCCTTTTGTCGGATCATTTAGATCATTATTTAAAAAGTCAAGAGACTAAATGGGGCTTTTAAATGGTCAGGTACCATGTGGTTCTTCGTTAAGAGTCAAGAAACCATTTTGACCCTTATATCCATGAAAATCATAATATCATTTTAAAATCAAGAACTCGTAAAAATATAAATTATATCAAACTTAAATAAAATCAAGCGGACATGCAATCCAATAATAATACTTAAAGAGAAGAAATAAAGTGGAAAGAAAAAAGTCTTCAAATTTCCTGTTTGCTTAAAGAAGTTGACACTCTTAAATAAAATAGCACAGACACTAGAACTTTATTCAAAATCGAAGTATCATGAGTTTTGTTCAAATTTTACACCCTTCTTTATAATTAAAACTCCTAATATAATGCCATATTTACCAATCCCGAAAGGAAGTGGAAATCACTAAAGCGTAGGTTGCCATAGTTGCCAAAATCCCAAATAAGCAATAATATAAAACTCACTAGATGATGTTTCAAGAGAAATGTTGGTCGGTCGCAGAAGAGGAGGATGACAGTCTACTAAATAAAGGAGCAAGATACAAGATGAAAAGCAAAAGGCCGACAGAGTAAAATCTAAAGAATAACTCGGTCCAATGAATATATCAAGTTGATAGAAGTAGAAAAAAGGTTGCAATATGTGCGCAAGAAGGGATATATTACTGTAGGAAAAGGTAGCAGACCCAAACCGTCTGAATAATAACAAAACTCCAATGCCAAAAGTGAAAGCAGAAGGAATTGTCATAGAAGCCTGGCATCAAATATATATTTATATGTAATGCTAAATGATGTTTATATGAATAAAGCAATATAATTTTAAATCCAACTGAAAATAAATTTCAACTCAAGCAAAATTGAATGATTTTGAGTTAAGTCAGCACAACTTGGATCAATTTCCATCTCGATTTGATTTTAAATCCGATTCAAAATTTCTTAAATGGCTATACCTCAACTTGATAGCAGCCCTTATTACCTTCAGAATAGTGCAACTCTGAACCAAAAATCATCTAAAAAGTACGAAGCCATTTAAATATATACATGGCATTCTCAACATGAAGACCATCTAGAACTTTAAAGAGTAAGCACTCAACAAAAAGGTATGATAACACAGTAAACGTATTAATTCTATAATATGCAACTATTCACATAAATGAATAGTTATGCATCAATGGAGGAAGAGCATGGTCAATTTCAGGGTCGTAAGAACCCAATGCAAAACCATGAAGTTTTTAAAACTAACATCCTCACCAGATAGATCAACAGATTGATCATTGTAGCTGTGCATTGTAGCCGCCCAACCTACAATTATATAAAAAAGTAGAATTAGTGCACAGCAGCTAATTCAACCTCCGTAACATATTTGTGTGGTTATTATCTTCGCTAGGCTAATTGTGCCAATATAAATTGGGTCAAACCATCTGCATGAGCATAAATATTGATGTGCTTTGATTCGAGTCTCTTGTAGTCAAAACTTTGGCCACAAAATTGGGGGAGCTAAAAGAGAGAAGAAATTGACGCCATCTATTTGAATACACTGGTATTGAGTATTTTGTTACCTCTTATGTCAAAAGTTGCAATATGAATGCAAATTTTGGAAGCCAAGTGATCGAAATTGATTCTAACTAAATAATAATTTTGAGCAAAAAAAACTAACAAAAATATTGGTATAGTTTAAAATAGCCAAAATACTATTTAATTCATGATGGGCCTTGAAAGCTGAGGACAATGCTTTTAATATGCAAAAAAAACTTTGTAGCCAAGACTAAGTCAAATCTCTTTAAACAAATCTAATTATTAAAATTCATCTTACAATTTCATGCAAATTAAAGAAGAACGTAAAAGGACAGGGACAGAGAGTCACAATATCTTTAGCCAAAGGGAGCTTGAAAATTCATAGTATATTTTAACCAAGGTTTCTAGAGCCACCTAATTTTGATAAAAGATCAGCAGCAGCCAACAAAACTGACACTAGAATTCCATAAACGGGCAAAGAAACAACCTAAAGAGAAAAAAATGATCTGGATTTCTGTAGAAGCTAAATGAGTTAAATGATGGTACTTCACAAGCAGCATGGAAAGTAGACAATCAAATTCAATGACAGTGCGTAGATGAGAATTTGCTAAGGGACTATTTGAGATCTTCTTTTTTTTTGGTTTTTTTTCCCTTTTGTTTTTAAAAACATATTTGCTTAGTGTCTTTTTCATATTTTTTTTAATTTTAAAAATAAATTAAGTTGTTTTTAAAACACTCATAATCATTTTTAGGTGTTTTAAGGGTTTTTAAAAACAACTATCACCATTGCAAGCCACCAAACACCTCTAGCCACCACCAATTACGACCATCATCAACCACCACCTCCACAACTGGCCACTGCCATCGTTGCCTCGATGACCATTACCACTACTTCGCCAACAACAGCCACATAAATTAATTTATTCAATATTCAACAGGAAAACATATACATATTTATTTTTAAAACAAAAATAAATATGTATGTGTTTATACATATTAATTTCAAATCAAAACACAAATAGAACAAAATAAAAAATAAACAATAAAAAGCAAAAAATAAAAGTGATCCCAAATGGCCCCTAAAAAAATAATTATGTGAGCAACAAATCTATCCCAAAAACCAACAAAAAATAAGTTCGTTGAGAGTCCTAAAGAAAGGTGAAACCTTCTGAAATTCTAAAATTAAGAAGTTATCTGTGACATTATTGATTATTTGTAATTTTGGAAAAAAAAATGTATCTTAAAATGAGAATATATATATATAAAACAAATTTGGACATTTGCAAATGCATTTATGCTAAATGAAAAGCAAGAGAAAATTAAGATAAAACAGCCTTCAATCTTTACATAGTATTTTGTTCCTCCAATATAATAAATTCTACATTCCATGACTAGCCATATCTATTAAAATGCCCTTATAATTTTTTTTCTTTGTTTTTATTTTTTGCTGAGAATAGAACAACATGCCTCCACTTCGGAAGTCAAAGGCATTATCAACCAACCAAGTCAATGGTAGTAGATGCCCTTTACAGGTTACCAATGGCTAAAGGATAATGTGTGTACTTCGATACTTGATTTCTAGACAAAATATACTTTCAAGACGTGTTAACAAGCAAGTTTTAAAATTTATGGAAGGAGAATAGCAGAGAGTTGACCACATAGTGTGTTTCTTTCTCAACACAGTTTTTCCTTTGGATTAGTTTAGGAGTAATTCTTTGGTAAGTGAGCAGTATCTTGTAACCAGTTTAAGAGTAGCAGATGTTTTCATTGAAGAAAGGAATATAAGTAAAGTAGAGGAGATTAATGCAGCAATTGCATACTTACGCTCATTTAGAAGTTGCGCAGCGTCACTAGTAGAGCACCCATCAAGAGCTACTAATCCTATATGAATGCTTTCATTTTGAATATAGCTGCTTCCAGTATCCCCATGGTCTACGCTAGAAAAGTTTCTTGCAACAGAAGATTGGCTCTTGTCTCCATCAATCCCATAAGAGTAGTTTACTTTTTCAAATCTATCTACAGAATAAATCTTATGTTAGAATCTTACATTCAACACAAAATTTTAAATCAATAAATTGACTAAAATATCCTTCCTCAGCATTAAACTTGTAGCACATATAACTAGTACAAATTGCATTTTGTTTATACTAGCTATAGTTAGCTGCACCAAGTGCATGTTATTTGGCTTGTTTTAATATAATATGAATGACCTAACTGAAAAATGAATAACAAAATAAAATAATAATATTTCTTCTGGTGATAGTTATAGCAGATCATAGTAATTTAAAAAAAAAATTATCAATATTTTAATGGAAGGCTTTAGCTGACCCCACGTAGTGGGATAAAGGCTTGACATTGTTTTTGTAGTAATATTTTCATGGAAGGCTCATATTTAAATAATTCTAGACTTAGGCTGATACCTACTAATAGTAAACTTTTTTTATTATTAGAGCAAAACATAAAATAGGAAGTCAAACTAATTAAATAGATTTATATCTAACATAGTATACATATATTTACTTAAGAATAGTCTAACCATTCAATTAATGTTACATGTATCAACATTTGAAGTTGAAATTATCATTGTAATTATTACTCAAATATGTGTGAGGATCTTGACAATTTCTTATCTCAGTATTTTCTCATTATTGACGATATTTTGTTTTACTTAATTGTTTCCTCTTTTTGTCTATATGTAGGCACATATATGCTTATTCTAAAACAATAATTCAGTATATATTAGTTTCTACTATTCTCTCTATTTTAAATGTGGAATTAAATTTAAACTATTTATGACAATTTTTGCTCACAAGCATCTTTTGTTCATGAGCACGCCATGATACAAATCCCACCATGCACATTGTTGTTCTCGTTTGCTACATGGATCTTAAGAGACATCCTTCTGCATGAGATCTTCATTGCCTTTATCTTGTTCAGGAGCTTCTTGTCACTTGTCTATATCTTCATATCTCTCCATATTGATGTACTTTAAATAAAGGTCTTCATTGATCTCTAAACACTAATAGATGCAAATCATTATCATTGGCATCCCTCAAATCTTTCTTGGAGACCATTCTTCCTCAGAACATTTATGTTCATAAAGCTTTGTGCACCACCATGTGCTTTGATCTATAACTCACAATGTTTTCCATTGTTATCCTTAGAACTCGTTCGCTTCATCTAAAATGGCTACATAAGGTACTTCAATCGCCCCTTAAAGCAAATCTGCCACCAATCAGCTCTCTTCAAGGCCACCAGCCTACCTAAACACGCACCATCGGACCTCCCTTACATGTAGACATAGGCCACCAAAGGGTCCCAACACAGGGCTTGGAGGCTTCCCAAATTGTCATTCTTCAAAAGCTTTATCATCAATAACATTGTTGACTTCTCAAAAATCATTGATCTTGCCTCAAAACACCAGTGAGGCCTGGCGTGTGTCATATATATCTCGGGTAAGAATAATGTAGCAAAAAAACAAAACCCAACGAACTCTCTCCACCTATAACATCTCAAGATTCAACTTCGTTTATTTTTTTGACTCTGACTCCTCTCAAACTTTGTTGCCTCCTAACTACTAGCAACATCAACAATAAGGACAACAAATTGATAATTACTTCTCGCAATCTGCTCACAGCAGCTCTTCTTACACAAACTAAACCTCTATCGTCAACTGCTATCAACTGCACTGCTCATGTACTTGCCTATGATCCATTCATAACTATTACCAGCTACCCTTTCCCACTACCCTTGTGACTAGAACCCACCTCCATAAGTTGAATTCGCCATCACAACCAACTACAGCACCACCATCAACATCAATGCCTAATATTTCTCTAGAGAAAAGTGCTTACATCTAAGCCTCCTCTTCATAGATAGTGACATCCTCATCAAGTTCATCTATCATCTTGAAGCTCACGTTATGGACCTACCAAACTACTATCTTCTCCCTCATCCGAGTCCTGGCATGCCCTTATCACCCAACTCCAATCTACAACAAGCACAATTCTAACTGTCAAAACTAGCCATTGCGCTCATGGCTAGTTCAATTGCATCACCTCAATCTCATTGAATACACCAATGCTAATGGACCACACATTGTCTTTTATCTCCAGTTTTCAGCTCCTCTCTCATCAATCAATCTCAACCCCAATCTCCATGTGTTGTTTTTGTTTTTTCCAACTTTTAATCACATACAAAATTATCTTTTATGCCAACATCCTCCAAAGATTGGCACTCTATTGATATCTTTGTTAAAACCTTTATTGACACCACGAATTTGTCTTCATCAATCCATCTTAATTTAATATATCCAATGGAGCCGTTTTAATTTAATTATAGCTTGACAATCCATCCATGAATGAAAACACGTCATAAGTCAAGGTGTTGTCCACCAACAACTCTGATATAAGGAGCAAAAAGTCGAGCATGCCTCATTAAGGTCAATAGAGTCGATGCATATATTGGTTTGCTATTCTTCTTTTTCATGAACACAATTCTCTATTAGGATAAAACTCACCTCAATATGCTTTATGGTTTCAACAATCACTTGTTATTCAACTTGAAGATGCAAGTACCTAAATGGTTGTTTGGCAAATGATGACTTTAAGTTAATAGTCAATATGCTAGCTGTCACTAAAAAAACAAAGCATCTCAACGTAAATCAAAGAAAAATAAGTCAAGAATTCACAAAGTAGTGCCTTCACTTCTTCAACTTATCATCAGGTAACAAAATCCAGATAAATGTCGGGTGAGGTTCCTCAATATCTTGGTTAATCACTTTAAATTCATCCATAAGAGTATTATCTTCAAATTTTTCAAGTGCAACATTGATTTCTATGCTCGACCATTTGATGAGCAACATCATTAAGAGAGTCATCTTCTCTATCTTCAACCTCAGCATCTAGAGTATAACATGTCTTCACCCAAAAATAGACAAACTTGACAAACTAGAGTTCTCTAGTCATGTATTACTATCATCCAACAATACTTGAGTACTTTTCATCCCACGGCTCTTAAAAAAGATGAGCTTGCTCTTCATTCTACCCAACATGGAATTCATGCATATGAATCAAACTTCAAAGTTTGTGAAGGGGGAGATATAAGGGAACCTTTGTAGGCTTTTTTGTTCCAAACACGAAGTGTTGATCAGGCAACGTCCGGGCCAAAGTGAAAATTTTTTGACCATCTCACACGAGAGAAACAATTATGTTTTGTTCTTGCTGAAAATTTTGATGTCAGAACTCAGAATATAAATTTGGATCAACTTCTTTACTCGTTCCCTTAGCAAGAGGTTTACATGAAAATTGATATATTCTCCTTCTTCTGTGTAACTTCCCATGTGAGGAACATCTCCCTTCAACAGCTTAATTAGTAAATCAATGTGTTCGGAAGGAATTGGGAACAATTTTCGATCTTCCATTTTGCTTCTTATTAGCCTCTCCTTTAAGCTGTGTAGCTGGTTTTGAGATTGAAGCAGTTTGGAGAATTGGAAAGACCCAAACTCCTTCAAGTATAACATCCTCATAAATTTGAACTTCATGAAAATCAAAGCGTTGCTCATCATCAATAATTCATTCTATGTTCTTCTCCATTCTTTATATACTTCATGCATTAATGCATAGTGGAGGGAATGATACCATATTAATGACAACATAGTGTCTCCAAAGAGTTTTGAAAGAGATGTCAAAAGTCCAACAGATAAAATTTTGACTCAGTATAAAGCTTTCCAAATATCATGTATACGACGAAGGACCCTATAGCCTTTGTTTCCTTGCTCGTTGAAGTTGAACACCAAAATTTTATCAAGCCTAATAAGTTGAATGTGAAGAGACAACCACCATAATGCCAGCACACTCATGAGATTCACAGAAGAGCTCAAATAATGAGAATAAAATTCACCAAGATATCATTTATATCTATTGTGAAAAAGACAAGGCAATTTAATCAAGCGTCCCAACAATAAATCTTCCTCAAAGAATATAATGAGTAGGGTATTTTGAGCATGAAGGAACTCAGTCATACCTTGCCATGTAAAATGTGCTTCATACAAAAGGTCTTTCAATCTATGAAGCAAGAACATTTCAAAAAGCCATTCATGTTCATGTCCTACATGTCCTGAAAGATGTCTCACACACTAAAAAATCATGTCTAATATATATTTCTTTTAAATTATAGCCGAACACGATCAAGGAACACTCCCAAATGATCAGTGCATGTGCAATGTGAACTGTATTTTTTTTAATGAACCAGCTCATCAAATTATATTTTTTTATCAATGATGGTAGAGATAAATATTTTATGCATTCAGGTTCCCTTACAGGCAAATTAATGGAATTAATTGATACTATGACTCATATGAAGATAAATATTCTATGCATTCAAGAAACTAAATGGGTGATAGAGAAGGCTAAGGAGATTGATTTTTAAGATTTAAACTTTGGTATTCTCATAAGAGTCGTACTAAAAATGGTGTAGGTGTGATTATAGATAAGAGTTTGAAAGATAATATTGTAAAAATTGATAGAATTGGAGATAGAATTATAGTTTTAAATATTATTGTTGATGATAAGATTATTAATATTATGTGCTTATGCTCCTCAAGTAGGTTTAGATATGTGCTCAAGATTAAAATTTTGGAATGACTTAAAAGAATTAATACAAAAGATACCTCTAGAAGAAAGAATTTTTATTTGGGGAGATTTAAATGGACATTTGGTAGAGAGGTATAGGATTTTAAAAGTATTCATGGTGGCTATGAGTTTGGAGCGACTAATGAAGGTGGTAAGACTATATTAGATTTTGCTCTAGCTTATGATTTTGTTAATTATTAAAACCTTATTTAAAAAAAGAGAAGAGCATCTCATCACTTATAAGAATGGATATAGTAAAACTCATTTTAATTATTTTCTTATAAGAAAAATAGATTGTTCGATTGCAGAGATTGTAAAAATATTTTGAGTGAAATTCTATGTACCCAACACCACTTATTAGTTTTGGCTTTAAGATGAAGGGGTGGAGTATGAAAAATATAGTATATCATTATTATAGGATTAGATGGTAACATTTAAAGAGCTCTAACAAAAATATCTTTGAGAGTAAGATTTACGATCTTAAGATTTTGTCGGTGCATGAGAAAGCTAATATTATGTGGGAAATAATAGCTTGTAATATTAAGAATGTTGTAAAGGATGTGCTTGGAGTATCAAAAGGAAAAGCTCTTAATAGTAAAAATAGTTTGTGGTGGAATCAAAATATGTAAGAAAATATCAAAAATAAGAAGCTCTGTTATATAAATTAGTTTAGATGTAAAAATTCTGAAAATTGAGAAAGCTATAAAGTTGCTCGTAAGGAATCTAAAAAGCATTCTGTGAAGCTTTTAATGAATTATATAATAGATTGGATACTAAAGAGGGTGAAAGATATATGTATAGCTTAGCCAAACAAAGAGATAGGAATAGTAAGGATTTAGTTCAAGTGAAGTGCATTAAAGATGAAGATCAAAAGTACTCTTTTTAGAAGAGGATATTCAACAAATGCAAATGATATATTTTGTTAAACTTTTCATTGAAGATTATGAAAATACGATTGACTTTAGTGACCTTAATACTCTAAATGAAAATAGAGATTTTTATTAAACGGAGGCCTTCTGATGATTCGGTTAGAAAAGTTGAGGTATTAGATTTTACTTATTTTAAGAAAGGTAGAGGTAGACCTAAAAAGACTTGGTTAGAAAATATCAAATGATAATTTGATTTTTAACATAACACAATGGTGAAAAAAGATTCATGTAGTCGACCCCACGTAGTGGGACAAAGGCTTGATGTTATTGTTGTTGGTGTATTACTAAAACTTAAGTTAGCGAGGCTTTAAAGAAAATTAAGTGTGGGAAAACTGTTAGACCTGATGATATTCCAATAGAGGTATGAAAATGCTAAGAATATGAAGGAATTTATTGGCTTACTAAACTTTATAATATTATTTTGAAGACTAAAAAGATGTCAGATGTGTGGAGAAGAGTGTGTTGATTCTTATCTTTAGGAATAAAGGTGATGCACAAGATTGTGCAAATTATAGAGGAATTAAGTTGATGTGTCATACTTTAAAACTATGGGAGAGAGTTATGGAGTATAGGTTTCAATGTGATACTTATGTTTTTCAAAATAAAACTGGATTCATGCAGGGCGGGTTTACTATGGAAGCCATATATTTATTGAAAGGTTTGATAGAGAAGTGTAGAGAGAAAAAGAAAGATCTTCATATGATATTTATTAATTTAGATAAAGCATATAATAAAGTTCCAAGAGAAGTGCTATGAAGAGTTCTAAAAAAGAAATAGATTAATAATGTTTATATTCAAGTCATTAGTGATATGTATGCTGGAGCTGTTCCTTGTGTTCAAACACAAGGTGGTTTGACCAAGTATTTTCCAATTTCAGTTGGATTGTATCAAGGACCAGCCTTAAGCCCATATCTTTTTGCTTTAGCCATGGATGTTCTTACTAGAGATTTGCAAGAGGATGTTCACTGATGTATCCTTTTTGCTGATGATATTCTTCTTGTTGATAAGACTAAAGAGGGAGTTGAAGGTAAACTTGAATTATGGAGGTCAATCTTAGAGTCCAAAGGTTTTCATTTAAGTAGATCTAAAACCGAATACATGGGGTGTAATTTTAGTAGAAATAGATCGAGTGGGGATTTGTGACTTTGAACAATCAATTCATTAATATGAGCACACGTTTTAGATATATTGGGTCTATTGTTCAAAGTGATGGCGAAATTGATATGGATATTATTAGTAGAATTCAAGTTGGATGGATGAAGGGGAGGAATGCATCGAGCTTGTTTTGTGATAAAAAAGCACCACTAAAACTTAAGGGAAAATTCTATAAAATGGTGGCTAGACCTGCAATGCTTTATGGCACAGAATTTTGGCCATTAAAAGAGAAGCATAATATTAAGTTAAGTGCTGTAGAAATGAGGCTGCTCACGCGAATGAGTGGCTTTACTCTTAGAGATAGGAAACGAAATGAGCATATATGTCAAAAGGTTGGAGTAGCTCCAGTGGCAGATAATATTAGAGAGCATCACCTTAGATGGTTTGGTCACATAAATTGGCGGCCTTCCGATGACCCGATTAGGAGAGTATATATATTAGATTTAACCTAAAACTTGGTTATAAAATATTAGAAATGACCTTTCTTTATTAGATCTAAATGAGAATTTGACTTTTAACCGGACACAATGGAGAAAATGAATTCAGGTAGCTGACCCCACGTAGTGGGATAAAGGCTTGATGTTGTTGTTGTTGTATCAATGATGGTAAAGGTTCTCTTAAAGAAGATATTAGTATTAGTGGTGATGATAATTGCATTATGGAGTGTCTTTGGTCAATCGATAGAACTTCAATTTGTTCAAACTTTTTAGGCATTTTGAAGGTTTTATATTTTTTCATTTTATTTTGACAATTTGTGTGAACAATATAAAATTAATATTAACAAAATCATGCCTAATACTTAATGATGATGTTGGTATATTGCTTACAATTAAATACGCTTGATGAAATATTAAAATATAATTATAATTAAACCAATGTTTTCTCCATAAATTTTTAATGTAATATGACATTATATTTCATTTTGTAATACTTTTATGATAGAAAACATAAAAATTAAGTGTTTTGATTACACATTATATATTAAAAGATTATTTAAAATTATTATGTCCACGATTTTTCACATCCTACCTTTTATAATTATGTCATTTTCTAGTGTGAATACAATGTTAAATTTGTGTCTTGTGCCCGTGTCCATATTTCATAGATTTTGACATAAGGAGAACTTAATATACACTAAGCTATGTCGAAATTTTTTGTAAATGTGAGAAGGCATTATAATCAAGTCCCTTTGATGAACTTGATGACTTTTTGGGACCCTTGGGGAAAACATATTCATCAACCATTATATTCTTGGATTTATCTATAGCTGATGGGCCCTTCTTTTATGGGTGATGACACTTTATCACTCAGTAATTAAGCATGGGCAATCTACTTTTTTTAAATTGACTTGATGAAGAAGAATCTTCAAAATCCAACTCTTTAGCAACTTCAAAAGTTTGGTTGGAAGCTTTGGAATTACTTCCTAATCTTAAACAACTCATTTTTTTACAACATTTGATGTTTTAAGTCACCTTCTAGACCAAGTACAATTTTTTTTTTTTCAAAATCATCATTAGTTCTTAGCACATGAGATGAGATTGGAATTGTTTATCTTAAGAGACTCATTCATTTAATGGAGACGCCTAACTTAAGAGCATGCTTATTTTCTTCAAGAAATGCATCCATGCCTAATTAATGATGACTTTGATGGGGATTTATCATAAACATCATAAGCCTAGCCCTTTCTTATAATTGTAGGGTTTGGTCATGTCATTGCTCTCTTCCTCGTCATAGACTTAATGAGAGTGAAACAAGCAAGACTGTAAAAGTGAACCGACAAGTTTCAAATGAGAGTGATTATTCACCGTATCTTGATGGGATTTGGCATATTCAATGAAGTATCTACTAGTTCTTTTTAATATTTGCAATTAAATAAGCCAATTTTAAATCTTATAGCATCAAATAATGTGTGGTGTGTATATCACATTTACTCTTCAGTCCACTCAAGGCTAGACCACTAAAGCCCAATTTTGCACACATTATATCATAAGTCTTGTTTTGGGCAACAAGGGTCCCAAACCCATCCTAGCACAGAGAGGCAAAGAGGAAATACCATGCAGTAAGAAAAAAACATACCAAATGGGAAATGGATATTTTAACATACATCATTCCAATTTCATTTGCATTAGCTTCATAAATTGTACTAAAATTATATACTACAGTTTTTTTTTTCCAGCTATAACTATTTAATAAGATGAAAACTTTGCGGATCTAGATTTGTTAAGCTTATTTCTAGAAATAGTTATCATTAAGATTAAATGCAGCACATTAAGTCACAATATAACACCTTTTTTGGGAGTCACTATAGCATAGTGCATCCAGATCATGCAAAATAAAAAATACAACTCGCACTGCCTGTTATAATACTTTTCCCGCAGGTCAGAGTGATGCAACACTATATGCCTCCTTAACCCATTGCACAAATATATACCTTAGTATGACCCTTTTCTGGGTCATACTAGAAGGAAAAAAAATTAAATGCTATTAACGTCATAATTTTTTAAGCAGATAATTATAATTTTCCCGCCCCTTGTCCCAGTAACAAAAAAAAGCTAATGAAATGCCTCCGGCAAGTGCGGGTACTCTAAGGGGTTGTTTCGTAGCACCCAGGATTTGATTTAAGTAGGATTTCATAAATCCGCTAAATCCAGATTTAGGAAATCCTGAGGGGCCTGAATCCTGAAAACTGTTTGGTAACATTCAGGATAAATCCTATTAAATCTCCTGTAACTGTTTGGCTATAGAATGGATTTGATGAGCATATTCTTCCTCTCTAGCTAACGGATTTCGTAAATCCGGAAAAAATAGTATTTCGGAAATCCGGGATTTAGCATGAAAAAGCGGAATTTTCTGTCTATGGCGGCTTTCATTTGCAATGAGATTTGGTTTTGCATTTTAGGTCGTTTGGCTGGATTTCGCTCAAATCCGCCTCAAATCCAGCCTAAATCCTGCTACCAAACAGCCCCTAAGTGCTGACATTCTAAAAAAATAAGAACTTGAAATAAAAAGAGCAGCAAGCACCAAACAATATAAGTTGCTTCCCCACTCCTAATGCAAAGTGGATCTCAGAATAATATTCCCAAATAACCGTCCTATAATATACAATACAGAAAGTATCACAGCATACCTCCCGATTTCCGCCGGTTAAGAGAGCGATTCCTATCAAATCACAGAACATAATCACGTGTCAGTAGACAATGGCAATCACAGAAACGCTGAAGAAAGGCACAAAGCAGCAAAAGGTCGTCAATGTCACAATCCAAAACATATGAAGCAGCAGAGAAAATGGAAGGCATTCCGCATGTAAAATAACACGAAAACCTAACTAGAACAAGATTCCTCATCCCCAATCCCCATAAATGGGAGTAAAATAAAGACTAGTGCTACCTTTGAGGAGGAGGACCAAAGCGCTTGAGGTTTTCGGAATTATTCTCCAGCATCTCAGCAACCGGCGTCAGCGAGAAGATCCGAAAGCAGCTTCCAGCAAGATCCAAATTTGCGATTCTAGCGTGAAGTTATGGGCAGGGAAGAAGAAGAAAAAGAAGAGGGGAAAGAGGAGGATCGAGAACTAAGCCTCCTCGCCGCGCTGTCGTGCCTCCCACCCTCCTCTCCCCACTTAACTCCCTTTTGGAAGAGATGGGAGTTGATATTGGCGCCGGTGAAACCGTCGAGGGTTGAGATCGCAAATGCTGACGGAATTGGGAGAAATAAAATCAAAAAAATGTTTATAAAAAAAGGAAATTTGAGAAAATAGAATCTTGGATTATTTTTTTTTAATCAGCATGAATTATTTTTCAAAATAATTGTTAAACTAAATGAAATTATTTTATAAGCTAATTAAAAATTAAATATTAAATTCAGACATATCATTTATTTTGAACTCAATACTTATTAATTGATAGTCAAAATTCTTAACCAATAGACAAAAAAACTATGTGAATTAGATGGAGTGAAAATATAGTTTTGTAATGATGCTTAATTTTATGCAATTATAATGGAAAATATGAAAGAAATTTAGCTTGACATTATTATGACTTATAAGTAAAAATTTAAACTTTTATAAATTAAAAAATTTTAATTTATTTTCTCCTCGGCAAAATAATTAACTTGTGACAACTAAATTTAATTTCTTTTTCATTTGTATTTCTTCTGCAGTTCCTCTTCTTTAATCTTTTTTAATCAAGCAAATCATTAAAGTTTCATTTATGTGTGTTTAAACTGATAATATAAGATAATTATATATAAAATATTGGATAAATATTGCATCCAAAGATATTTATTTCAATATCTCATTATTTCTTGATGAGCTTTATGTCCCTTTGTTTCCATGGTATATTAAGGAATAATCATGTTGCGTCCTGGAATATTCGCGGTTGTAGAGAAATATATAGTTTAAAGTCTTAACATTGTACGAAGATCCAATACACAATCAGATAAGAGAGAGGGTGTAGCGTTCATAAGAGACATCATATTTTTTACGTTGAAACCCCTAAAAAAGGTGAAAAAATCACGGGGCCTAGCCCAATTTGAATGAATCCACTAGTATTTGCAGTTGATTACAAATGAGGCCCTTCCTTAGGAGAAGGCCTTGACTTGATGTCACAAATGTATATTATATAGAGTGCATTACATGGTGGGAGTTACAATAATCAACATAGATGTGTTTGTTTGGTATGCAGGACCATAGTTGATAGAATAAAGGTTGGAAAGATCGTTTTCTCGTGATGGAGGTCGGAAGGACTGTAGTCAGCATGAGATAGAGGTCTAAAAGACCGTAGTTGGCAGGGGACTGGGATCAGAAATATCGTTTTCTGTGATGGAGGTCGGAAGTATCATAATAGGCGACGGAGGTCAGAAGAACTGTAGTCAGTAGGATTCAGAGGTCCGAAAGATCGTAGTTGGTAGGAGACCGGGTCAGAAAGACCATTTATCTAGTGATGGAGGTCAGAAGGACCATAGTAGGCGATGGAGGTCGGAAGGACTTTAGCCGGCAAGAGACAGGGTTTAAAAGACCGTTGTCTGGTGATGGAGGTCAGAACGACCATAGTAGGCGACGAAGGTCGGAAGGTCCGTAGTCGGACGGAGACCAAGGTCTGAAAGACTGTTGTCTGTTGATGGAGGTCGGAAGGACCATAGTAAGCGACGAAGGTCGGAAGGACCATAATTGGCAGGAGACCCGGGTCTGAAAGATCGTTGCCTGTTGATGGAAGTCGAAAGGACCATAATAAGCGATAGAGGTCGAAAGGATCGTAATCGGCAGGAGACTCGGGTCTGAAAGACCATAGTAGAAGGGCGGTACTTCGGGAGAACTCTTGACGTCAAGTGGTGGCTCGATAGAAGTTCGGGCCTCAAGTGGTGGTCCGACGGAGCAATGATATCAGGCGGTGGTTCGAAGGAGGTGAGGGCTTCAGGCTGTGGTCCGGCGGAGCAACCATGTCAGGCGGTGGTCCAGCGGAGGTGAGGGCCTCAAGTGGTGGTCTGGCGGAGCAACGACATCAGATAGTGGTCCGAGAGGTGAGTGCCTCAAGTGGTGGCCCGATTGAGCAACGACGTCAGGCGGTGGTCCTGCAGAGTAACGATGTCAAGCTGTGGTCCGCCAAAGGTGAGGGCCTCAAGTGGTGGTCCTGTGGAGCAACGACGTTAGGTGGTGGTCCGACGGAGGTGAGGGCCTCATGCGATGGTCTGGCAGAGTAACGACGTCAAGAGGTGGTCCGGCGGAGCAACGATGTCAGGAGGTTGTCCGGCAGAGGTGAGGGCCTCAAGTGGTGGTCCGGCGGAGCAACGACGTCAGGCGGTGGTAGGGCGGAGGTGAGGGTCTTAAGTGGTGGTCTGGTGGTGGTCGAGGAGGAGCTTCTTCCTTCTCTTGTTCCTTCTTCTCTTCTTACTTTGAGCCCTCTTTTCAAGAGAAATGATGAGTCTATTTATAGATTTATGGAGTGGCATGGCCCGTAAATACGTAAGAGATCAAGGGTAAATGGGGAGTGGTTTGATGGACGGCTGATGTTGAATCCATGACCATGGACTATTTGATGGACATTTGAAGGTCTTAATGATGTCGGAATTTGGCGATCTTGGGCTCGTTGGATTTGTCTCGTCAAGCCGCTTTATTCTATTATAAGCACGTTATGTTTGGAACCCTTTGGTAACCCAAATTGTGGTTCAAACCTTTCAACATCGCTTCAGACCCTAGGTTTGGACTCATTTGGGCTCGTATTGAGTCGAATTTGATGTCCTTGGGTTCGTATTTTCGATAAATTCAATTTGATTGTAAGTTTGCTGAAATCAGAGTTTGGATGGTCCCAATTTTAATTTTGGAAGTTTTCAACTTGATTTTGCATCGAGATTCGTGCCCGATCAAGATAATTTTTTTGATGATGTATCAAATCTTATACATTTTGTGCAAATATATGACTTAACCTCATTATATTCAGCCAAAAAAAATTTAAATTCTGAGAAGAAATAAACCACACAGCTATTTTCAGTAATGAGAACTTCATCCTCAATTCGAAGGCCAACGCCTCAATGACTGTATATTTCAAGAGTACTGATTAATATAAATTGCACGTACCAACATTTGAATTATGTGGGATTAAGGGTTCATTTGATACATCTTTCTTAATTATTTATGAATTAGTGTTTTAGTTAAAAAAAAAAATTGAATTAGAATTTTTTGTATTGAAAAAATGTTTTGGAAAGCAATGTGAAAGCTGTCCCAAAGGAAATCTAAGACTTTCTTACTGCATCTTAAAGCAAATTTTTAGTACAAAAATTTTAATTTTTTTACTTAAAAGTAGATTTAAGAATCAATAAGAAAACTGTCCCAAACAAAGCCAACAATTTTCTTATTTTTTTATAAATTAACTTTCTAGTACAAAAAATTCCAATTAAAAATTTTTTTTTATTAAAAATATAATTTATAACTAGTAAGAAAGTTGTCCCACACAGCTCTTCTTGGCCTATTGGTTGAGATCTTAGGCTTTACACTAAGAGGTCTAGAATTCGAGTCTATGTGTATGCGTTGTATATGCTAGTTTGCCTTAAATGACCTAAATGTCATAAAAAAAAAGTTGTCCCAATCAAAGATAGCTTTTAGTAACTTTTCAAAATTATTTTAGAAACTCTTGATTCTATTGTTGCAGACGGATATGATAAAATTTGTTTATATTGTAGCTTATTTTTGCAACGAATGAATCAATTGTTGAGAAATGGACTAAATCTAATTCAAGCACTTAAAGAAAAAATTAGTAGAAAATATGACATCATATTACACACACAAAAATACATAATTTTAGGCAGATACATCTACTTGATTATTCTCTCTCTAATTTATGAAATTAAAATTATAATTATGTGCAGTGTCCGGACGCATCCGGAGGTCAATCCGGACATGCCACATCATCTAATACACAGTACATTGGATGACGTAGCGGGCCTGGCTTGTCCTCTGGATGCATCCGAACTCCGCGCGTAATAATCTCTCCTAATTGACACTGCTATACGTTCCACCATTGTTGTGAAGAATTACATATTCAACCTTCAAGCTTCGTTTGGAACAACGTTAAAGTAGTTTTTTAATACAAATTTTCTAATCTAAGAACGACACTCTCCTCTTAATAAAAAAATATATTAAATTCTCAAAATAAATTTAATAAAATAACACACAAATATTAAATATTCATTCTTCTGATCAAACAGTGATTGAATTTACATAAGTTGGTCCATTAAGGGAAAAAATCTTGGTCGATAATGATAATTATAAATGAATAATGAACTTCAAAATGTAATTAGAGAAAAATTGGTGAGGGAATCTAGTAATCGCAACCACTATGCCATTACATAATCAAAACAATATATTTACAAAATAACAACGCATAGAGACATATAATTTATATTTATTTTTCGAATGGTATGTGAAGTAAAAGATATTTATAATGTTATAAATTTATAATCCGTGATTGATTTTAATAAATATGAAAAATAATAATAAACTGAACATCATTATGATTTATGTGTCCCCTTCAAACAAAATATAAAAATTCAAAATTTTATCTATAAAAAGATTAATGACACATAAAACTTCAAATTTTCATCAATAAAAAAATAATCAAAATTCCATGATAATATAATACTATATCTAAAATATTTATAAGTAGTATAATATTATAATAAAAGAGAACTTACAAATATTTCACAAATTTTTTATAAATT